CCTGGGCATTTGTGAAAGCCCCACACCAAACCTTCTGAATCAGAAACTAGGAATGGGGCTCAGTAACCTGTTTTAATAAGACCTTTTGCTGATTATAATGCATGTTAAAGTCTGAGCATATCTTCTCTAGAGGACTGACAGAACCAAGTTTTCAGGTTCCCTACTTTGTGTACACAAAGTATTCTCTTCACTCTCCCAAATACAGCAAATATATTCTTATCTCCAAATACTTAATTGTAATTTAAGGTGACTTTCAAAACATAAAATGAAGATTTGCCTTCAATAAAAATTTACTAAACATAATATAACTGCTCCAACTTTACACATTTGTGATTATGTTAACTGTAAATGCCTGTGTTAACCATACTTTCATCAATAAGGCTAATTTTTACATTTAGTGCAATTTGAAAGGTGTTATTTTCCACTAAATAACAGAATGAATAAGAATTCCTGGAGCTGATGAAATCACTTATCAGGAATCCCTCTCCTTACATGTAAAGCACATTATTATTTATAATATTTCTCTAGCCAAGTCTATTCAATTCATTTGAAATTATTCAGCTCTCACACAATTTTAAATTTAACTAAGCTTATCCAAGAAAATGATGATGATTTATTAAATTACCTGTATATATATCTTTTCTTTCCTGGCATTCAAGAAGAGACCTTTTCCCATGCTTTTGTGATTTTTCCCGAAATCTTACTGTTATCACCACATTTAGATTATTAGCATTGTAATTCAGCTCAGGAAAAGATTTGGTTTCCACAAGGTTTCCAAACTTCTTGTTGATAAAATGGTGGATAGCTTTTCTGTGGTCTTTGTTTGAATCAGGTTTAAAGGTAAATTTGGAATTTTCTTTCTTTGCATCCAAATATTTAAAAAATTCAAATGCTTCTTCTTCAGATACTAAGTGACAAAGTTCTTTATAATCAAGATTTGGTTTTACAACAATTTCACTGTTTTTTCCTACGGTCATTAAAAAAGGAAATTTCTGCCTAATAGCACTATGTAAACTAGCCCTCTGGTTTTTGTCAAGGATTCTGCCTATTGAGAATTCAGGAGATGGTCCAATTAGCTCAGTTTTAGAAAGCCACTTCTCTTTTATATCACAGGCAAAATGATTCAGTAACTCATTAGTTTTTTCATCTAAAAAGCAGCTTAGTACATCAGCTTTTTCTTCACATTTGGAAGTCCTGTTATTGATAGTATCTTCCTTTTCTGAACCAGACTTATGGTTTTGGTTGCTATCAGAGCCCCTAGCCAAAGTATTAACTTCTTGGCTACTTCTTTCTTCAGAGGACAGATTTTGAACATCTAGTTTTGATTTTTTGGGAAAACTATTTGGCTCAGGTTGTATTTCACTAATCTCACAAACAGGCTCATCAATGGCCTTATTAACTAACTGTCCCTGTTCATCAATTTCAATAACAATAAAGTCACTTGGTGAGCTTTTCACAGTGCCATGAAATCCAACATGATCATTAATAAAACACAGAGAATTAAACCTGATTCCATAATCTGTATCCTCTTCCATTCTTAAATAGTAATGCCTATAAAAGAAACAAAGAGGCAGTCACCAAAACAAGAAATTGTGGATAACAAGATAGAAATAAGTTTGCAGGATTTATTTAATTCTGTCTCCTTTTTAAGTCTGAGTCTTTTTAAATGGCATTAATAACTTATGATAATGTATCATGTGTACTTTGATTCTCCTATACAAGATGAATTAATAGGCAAACTATTTCTGGTATAATTAGTGATTTGTAACTTGAATCTCCACTCTTTCCAGGCTTCCATTAGTATTCAGGATTAAAATGGGTCAATTTTAAGTTTGCCTTAAAAAAACCGTTTGTAGGCCCATAAAGAGATGAAAGAAAACGTAGGATTATTTACAATGACTTGTCCAAATCCCATTCCTGGACCCTAAAATTTCCAGTTCATTTCAGAGAACTTGTGGCTAGATTTTTATATATTAGAGGTTAGAGACAGAATAGGGGACAAGAAGACAGAAAGAAATGGTCTAAATTGATAGGTAAATGAAGTTCTAAATACCAACTTTCAATTTGATTACATTTCAAGGTATGCTTAAGTTAGCTCTGGACTTTAAGCCATCTCTAAAGCCCACTTTTGGATAAAAAGAAATTTTTGAGATTGACCCAGAGGAAAATTCCAACTGTATCATTTGCATCAGAGAGAAGAAACTCTTACAGAGCTTTCTTGAAGCAGTGTCCAAGAGTATAGTACTCGAGAAAGCCTTCACTACACTTTCACACAACCCATAGCTACCATACCACATGGAGCTGCAGGAAAAACAAATAGCCCAGGGGCTTCATACTACTCAGTTCTTCATGTTACACACACTCTCCAGGTAATTTATCATTATCTGGACCTTCAACCCATTTTTGCAATGTATCCTACTAATCTGAACCAATTTAGCAAACCATCCCCTTTCTCAATCCTTTCCATTGTATCATGTAGAAATTACAGAAAATTCTCTACATCCAAATTTCCTAGACAATATACAAGGATATATTCATTTTCTTTAATTCTTTAATTTCCTTCACAGTTCCCTCAATTTCTTGCCTTAATTGAAACCTGGCTATTTCCCTAGTTTGCTGTTTCTTTAGTCTTCTCAAGTGAAGGTTATTTTTAGTTTCACACCCAATCTGCCTTAGGACCTGGAGGCAGTAAATATTTTCTACACTTGTCACTGCTCCTTCCAAGACATTTCTTCCTCTACCTCCAAAAATCCCAATTCCTTTGAAGATCATGCCATCAGGCTTTACCATCTGCTGCTATCCTGTCTTGGATCCTCTGAGGACTCTTCGATCCCTCATAACCTCTGGCTCACTATCTTCTTAACCAGCATGACTTTTGTGATCATCCATATGGATCATCCATGTCACATCTTGCTTCCTCAGTTCCTCAATCTCAACCTCAACCTCCCATCTCCACTTCTTTGTAATCCACTCTCATGGTCATCACCTCTCATGGTCATCACTTTGACTTTGTCATCTCCAAAAACTATATCAACTTTAAGCATCTGATTCTCTGATCACTCCCACAGTCCTTCAACAATTCCACTTTAAAACTTCCATTCCAAAAATTTTTAGATATTGTGAAGGTCTCTAATTCCTGCTTCTATTACTAGCCCACTATAGTCCAAACTCCACATAGAGGCTAGAATGGTGTTTCTAAAGGTAAATTAAACCATATCACAACCCGGTTTGAACTCTCTAATCACATTTATAATAATATCCAAATTACTTACCTTGGTTTCCAAAAACACCTAAGATTCTGGACCCTGACTTTCTCTTACACATTTTATTATTCACTATACTCCAGCTATACTTGCCTTCTTCTATACTTTTATGCTAACTGTTCCTGCTGCTTACATTGTTCCTTCCCCAATCATATTTCTTCATCTTTTAGGATCCATACCTTCAGAGGTTTTTCCTGACCAATAATCTATAGGAACCTGCAACCTCTTTCACAAAACCCTATTTAATTTTCTGCATTGCATTTCTAGTGTATGTTTTTCTTTATCATTTATTGTCTATCTCTTCCAACTAGAAAGTTTGCTCTATGTGTGCAGAAACCTTGTCTGCCTTACTTATTGGTGGTAATCCCACATTTAGAACAGCATCAAGCACATAGTAGGTCTGCAATCAACACTGACTGTTGAATAAATGAAACTGGTGCAGAATAAGTGCTGTAGGAGTGAAGTGGAAGAAAGAAGGCATCACTTTTGCCCATGATAATCAGGAGAGGCATAAAGCAAGAAGTGGTCATCTAAGTCCTTGAAATGGTTCAAGAAATAGAAATGAGTTAGAGACATCATAACTAATGTACAAATAAAATACACAACGTGTGAGAGAAAAATAAGCAGCCTAGATACAGAACGGGGGGGGGGGGAGAGATGAGTACAGTTCTGGAAAATACAGCTGGATTGATGCCAGGCTATGGAAGACACTGAATGCCCTGTTAATAACTTAGAATCTATTGGGTGGTCAATGAATGGCCACTGGAGGTGTTTGAGTAAAAGTGTGACATAATCCAAAAAGGTGCTTTAGTAAGATGCCACTGATGAACCTAAGCAGGATGTATCTGCTGGAGTGAGAGTTGGAGGAGTTGAAAAAGGATGTGATCATGAGCACAGCTATAGGGACTTGCCTTGAAAGAATAATTATCTTTTCCTTCCCCAGAAAAAAAGAGGAAGTTACGAAGACATTCTATGCTATGGAAAAAGTAATAGTGAGAGAGAATAGGGGAGAAAGTAATAGTGAAAATTCCAGCTAAACATTGTAGGAAGGGTGGAACTGAACTGGAGGGCATCCAAGGAGCCCACAGGGCGTTAGGCATGAAGGTGCAGTTTCCCTTGCAACAGTTTGCTGACGAAGAGTGGCAGGTAGAGGGTAGACTGGCTGGCCCATGGATGAGGAATTACGAATGAGGAAGGTGTTAGAAATGGAGAAAAGTAGCTCCTTTTCTTTGATTCTCTTCCGTCACCAATCCCTCAAGCTCTGTGGAACCCACTTATGCAGAAGCTGCCACTCCACAGAACGAAGGCGGCGATGCCTTCCAGCACTTCCGAAGGTATCCTGACACGGCCAGCAGCTCCACTTGTTTCCTCTCCCTTCCCCAACCCCTCCCGCCCCAAGGCACGACACTAGCCCGCTTCGCCCGTCTTTCGGGGAAAACGGCTGGGAACCTCAATGCCGACCTTGTCAACGCCTCATACACAATCCTCACAGCGCGCTAGCAGCTCGACCCGGTCTACCTCAGTGCAGACGAAGGAAGTCCTCAACGTTGTGCGCATGCCCGGAAGCCTTATATTTTTTTATCCCCCGACAGTGGCGTATTTAAAGGAGCAGGCTCCCACGCAAAGAAGCGCCCTACGCAAGACCAGGAGTTGCTCACTTCGTGGAGCCACTGGGAGGTGCCAAGATAAATGGGGGCCGTGACGAGAAAGGACGGGGTGGTGTCTGCTGGGTTGGCCCCGCCCCGTCCCGGTCTTCCGAGTGCGTTCGTTGTTTGCCGACTCGTTCCGCCGGGCGGCGCCCCGCCCGCACCCCGCGCCTCGCGCCCCGCGCCAGGGCAGGTAAGGGATTCCCGGCGTGCCGGCGTGCGCGTCTCCTTCCTGGAAGGTTTTCCGAGGTCCGTGTCCAGGCCTCGGTGCCTCTGCTCCCGGGTTGTAGGAGACCGTTGCGGAACGGAAATCTGCTTTTCATCAGTGAGAAAAAGTTAAAGAGGAAGTGGGTTGCGTGCGCAGAGCTTGCTCCAGGAGAAGGACTTGGGTGGGTCCGGTCAGACCTGAGGGTGAACCTAAGGCTGAACCTGAGGCGCGGAGGGGCGTCACCCAGCCATTGTGGGGCGTAGTCGGACCTCGCCTCAGGTTTCTCACCTCCCGAGGCTGTGTGTCCCGTGAGCCCGTTTACGAAATGAAATCTCTTTTCCTGAGAACCAGGAAGTAAGGCCGGCACCTGGCAGAGATGCTTGTCTCATGGACAGCCTCCAGAGCCTCCACTCAATTCTAATTAGCGTGTTTCTGCGGCTTCCAGGTTTCCCCGGAATTAGAAAGTGGGGAGGGGGTCTCAGGGTCAGATAAGTACATTAACAGATGTGGGGGGGTGTCCCTGACAGCTTGGAAGTGAGAGAAGAGAGAAAGGATGAAAGCAGACCCTGGGAAAGCACCTCCAGCTATTTCGAATGGGAACTATTAGCGCCTCAAAATCCGAGGCGCCTGTAAGAAGAGGATATTAAAATCTCCCTTTTCCCTTTCTGGGAGCAGTCCTTGAAGAGGTCTGTCAGAAAGTTCAGATTTCTTCTGTTGTGTTTTCTTGCGAAGCATTCATTTAAAGTTTGCTTCTTACCTGGCCAAACTCGCTCCTTCCACACACAGTCTTCATCTCAGTAAATGTCAGGAAACTTGTTCAAACCAAAAACCTTGGTGCCATCTTCTGCCTCTCCACATCAGCACATAGGATTCTATTGGCTCTACCTCAGAATCTATCCAGCATTCCCAGGACTTGTGCCGGTGCTCTGCCGCCCTAGTCCAAGCCTTCAGCCCTTCCCACCTGGATTATTGGGACACTCTCCTAACTGCTCTTTTCCTGCTTGTACGTCGTTACTCCAACGTCCTTTATTCTCACAGCCCCAGTAGCCTTTTAAGACATGAATAATAGAGCTTGTCTCCTCTCTTGTGAAAACTTCACTCAGGGAGTCAACAAAGTCAATACAAAGGCTATAAGGCTCTGGGAGACATGGCCCATTTACGTCTGGGACCTCATCTACTACTTGCCTGCCCCCCCCCCTTCTGCAGTCCCACCGTCTCCTTGCTGGTTCTCAATGGGCCCACTTCCAACTTTTGAGTTGACTATTTCTTTTGCCCAGAAGCTACTCCCACAGATATCTCAGTGACTGGCTTTCTCATTGTTGCAAACATTTAATCAAATGGCACCTTCTTATTGAGGCTTACTCTGACTACCCTATTTAAAATTATAACCCCTTCTCTGTTTTTGTTTTTTTTTTTTGGGGGGGGGAGGGTTCTATTCCATTTGGCACCATCTAACATACTACAGAGTTTATTTATTTGCTTATTGTCTGTCTTCATATACTCCATGAATTCAGGTCTTCTTTCCTTTTCTATTTTTCTTAATGCTCTCCAGAGGCCTGGAATAATATCTAGCACAAACTAGACAGTAGATATTTGATGAATGAATAATATTATATTTTTCTAAAATATATTCAAAGCACTTAAAATTACTTACCATTAAGTTAAATCAGTATTTGAAAAAAATATTTTATGTTTAATTTATGGCACACCAGCACATATCCCAATTTGAGAAAGGCAGCTCTGTATACTTTAATAGATCTGGAAGGCATCACCAGCCTTCGTTCATAATGATATTAAAGTATCCAAAAATAAAGGTTAATGGTTATATAGCATGTTTTTCTAGGAACACATGGAAGTGAATAATATGTTTTAGAAATATTTTAAATATGTGAAAGGTACTGTGATTGATAAAATAAGACTGCCATCACCTAAAAATTTAGCTGTATTCTCAGATCTGTTATTTATACACTCTCCACAATTTTAGCCCCTCACCACAATTCTGAAAATTGAACTTAAATACACTCTGCACATTTCTTTTTTTAAAAAGAAAATACATGATACAAGAATAACTTCTGCCAGAAAATAATAATTGCTACTTTTTTGACCACCTATTTGTGATAAGGTTAGGCACTTTGTGTTTGTGGAATTTAATTGTCATATCAATGCTTAGGTATTACTATCTCTGTTCTTCAGATGAAGAAGCCAAGGTACAGAGAAATTGATTTACTGGTCCTGGTCACAGTTGGCTATGATTAAAACCCATGCCCATGGAACCTCAAAGTCCGTCTTCCCTCCATCTCTGTACAATCTCTTCCACTGATCAGAATGCTAAGAAAGCACAGTCTTAAAACTTTATTGATTCATTTAACAAGAATGTTATGCACTCCTGTGTCAGGCATAGTACTTTGAGAATGTGCACATGTGTGGGAAGGCATTAAGTTCCACAAGCACTGATTTTAGTATACTTCTCAATTGCCACTCCACCTTTTATACTTGTCTTATTTGAAAATATGAATGGTTTTCCTTTACTGTGAGATTTAATGGTGTGAGAAAACATCATGAAGGTATTTATTTATTTGTAAGCAATATATCCTGTTCCACTTCTATTAATCCTAAGTGTACTAAAGTAAAATCTTGAACAATTTGAAAATGATGACACTTTTTAAGTTTTTCTACATGGTCTATTTTTGTTATTGAAAAACAAAATGAAAACAAAACCACCATAAAAACCATCATCAAGGAATAACCACTGTTAACATTTTGGCTTATGTTCTTACAAGTGTGTGGTGGGAGTGGGTTATGAATTTATGTTTAAATTAAAATTTTAATTTCTGAGATTTTGAACTTTTGGGCCCATATGTATGGATGAGTTGTCAAAAGTCCTTCCTCTTCCTGACATCCCTACATCATTACTTCTGGAAGAAATCTGGGTGCAGAAGAGCTACCAAAATTTATCCCTGGCTTTAAGATAATCTGTTTTTATTCTTAATTGCATGTATTTTATCTGTAGTTTTTAGGATTACCAAGCAGTTCTGTCTTTTCTAGCTTTGACAATTATGTTGTACTTTTTACTCAGTAGAAAAGAATCTTAACAAATAAGAAAGGATAACTTGAAAAGGGAGCAATTGCTCCTAGGTAAATACAATTTCTTAATTTAAAAGAAAAATCAGTCTTTCATTCAGCACTAATGTTTTCAGTAACTGCTAAAGTGAATTTGGTTGGGTCCCTGCCTAGGAGAGCATGCTGTCTAACAGAGAAGGCAGGCACATAAACAAAAAAATATAATAATAGAAGAAAGACTGGGTGACATTTTTGGACCAAAAGAGATGACTATCAGGAAAAGCCAATAGTACCTTTTGAGTTGGGCTTAGAGGAGCAGCAGGCATTTACTAGATGGCCCTTAAGGTTCTTGGGCAATTATTTAACTAGCCCTAGATGACCTACCTCACTTCCTGTTTCACAGAGAAAATAACATTGTGTGGGAATTCTCCCTCTCTCTTCAAATATATCTGTATTCAAACTTCTGCTTCCTTCTTTCTAGATTCAGAAGTTTCCTTCTATCTAAGGCTGATTTCTTCATCTATACTCTTCACTATCCCATTTGTATTGCCAATCAGTTACGTCTTAAACCTTTACAGTAGCAGTTCTCTAAGTGTAGTTGGTGTCTCCAAGATTCTTTCAGGAAGTTTATACAGTCAAAATCATGTATGGGTAAGTGAATCATTCAGAATGCATTAGATTTTAATGTGCAAGTTCATTAATACAGCTTCAGATTCTACATGGCAGCTTATGTCTGTGTGAAGCTAGATTTTTTTTCATTTACATCAACCGAAACAACATACTGCAGCAGAATGAATACAGAAGCAGATATGAGAATTCAGCTGTCTTCTATTAAGTTAAACTTTAAAGAGATTTTCAAAACTGTAAAAAAATGTCACTCTTCTGATTTGGGGGAAAATATAGTTATTTTTATTAAAATATATAATGCATGCTAACATGTAATACATTTATTGTTATTTTAAATGAGTTAAGAATAAGTAATTTAAAAAATTCTCAGTGTCAATTTCTAATATGGTAAATATTGTTAGATATAATCAACATAAACAAGAGCCCTTTGGGGTCCACAATAAGTTTTAACAGGGTAAAGGGTCCTGAAACTAAGTTTCAGAACACCTCTCTCTCTCTCTCTCTCTCTCTCTCTCTCTCTCTCTCTCTCTCTCTCTCTCTCTCTCTCTCTCCCCCTCCCTCCCTCTCCCCCTTTCTACTCTTCTCTCCCTCTTCCCCCACTCCAACCCACTTCCCTTCATAGTCAGACTTCTTGGAAAATCTATTTTTGCCATTTACTCCCTCTTCCACTACAACTCTTCTTGAGTCAATAGTGTCCTTCTGGTTTTCAAATCTAACATACCTGTCAGTAGTTATTTGACCTCCTGGGTCTTTTATACCAACCTGTTCCCCATTCTAGAAATCTCTGATATGCTAGTGTCCTGGTTATCTTTTTACCTTCTTGCCCTCAATACTTTTAAAAATTCTTCTTTCACTTTATTCTTTTCCATTCTAACCATTCCTAATAGGCACCCTCATTTTTACCATTCAACCATATATGTGTTATATGCTCTCAATTTGTATATTAGAATACTTACATATTCTTGTGATCATTCTTTACTGAAACCTCTCTCCTAAGCTCCAGACCATAAACACACACACACACACACACACACATACACACACACACACACACACACACACTTGGTGACAACTCCCCTAGATGGTACGAGAAGTAGATATTTCCTATTTAACATGAGCCAAAACCAAAACAAAACCTAGGAATCATTTTCCTTGTTCCCTCTTTCTCCCTTTTCTTTAATTTCTGATTTTTTATGGAATTATTTTCATTTGGCCTCCAAAATCTTTTAATCTTTTTATTCTCAATTCTTGACCCTTTACTTTTTCCAGTCTCTCATTTCTGCTCACCTAGATTATCGCAGACATTTTCAGACTGGTCTCCTTGCCTAAGTGTACATTCCTATAATTTTTTTTTTTTATCCAGAGGAATATGTATTAACCAAATAAGGTCATATAACACCCCTTCTTAAAGTCTTGAAGTGGCTTCCCTGTAACTTTTAGTATAAGTTTAAACTCTTGTCTTAGCATATGAGGCACAGGATGATTTGGCCCTGCTACATTAAGAACCTCATCTATTCTCACTTAATTACATGCATCCTATGGTCTAGCTATTGCCAACTCCTTGCCTGAGATTAACCCATGTGTTCTCACCTTTTCCCATACTATTCCTTCTATGTGGAATTTTCTTTTGAGTTTATCTTCATTCCCTTTCATTCATACTTTCAACCTCTCACTCCAACCAAATCTGTATTGATATTCCTACTTCAGATTGCCTCTTCATGACACTCTTTCTTTGGGCCCCATAGCACCCTGAACATACCTATTTTGCAACAATTTACCACTCATTGTAATTGTTTGTATTCCTTGCAAGACTTAACAGCTTGGGTGCAAACATTTACTCTTCTGTGTGCTCTCATCACTTAAGACAAAGCCTCACATATGTTTGCTGAATATATGAATGAATGAAAGGAAAAGAATGGTCTTTATAGAAAAGATAGTAACATCAACAATGCATCAGGTCATGTGGGTGAATCTAGGAGTCAGACTTGAGTTCAAGTCCTAGATCTTTTACTTATTACCTTTGTGAAGGTAATAAGAGAGATGATAAAACTTCTTTAGACACCGAGATTAAATGAAATACATAAATCACCTACTAAGGTACTGGACAATAATTTATTTATTCATAAAATAAACACCTAATAATATCTATGATGTACAAGCCGCTAGTTAAGTATTAGTGAATAAAATGAGCCTGGTCCCTGGACTTAGCTTAATATCTAATGAGGAAGATAAATAGTAAACAAACTTATTATTAGAAATACATTGTACAATGATGAAAGATAATTAGGTATAGGGCAGGTAAACCTACTTAGATGTGGTAGGCAAGGAAGGCCAAAAAGAAGAAATGAATACTATCATAGAAACCTAGGATACAGAGACACTTTTTGCTTTTTACTCTTCTATAGTCTTAGCATTTTGTTCTCTATGAATGTATTATTTACTCCAAAAATTAATTGTATTTTTAAAATAAAAACTTAAAGGAATCAGAAATAATTGACATAAGAATATCTGAGTCTATTTTTCTTGATTAATTAGAAGAAGAGATCACCACTTGTTGAGAATAAGGGACATGGAGAACAAATAAAAACCATGTAGAGAAATGTAAAGGTATGAAATAGTCACTAAGGACAATGAGAGAAGACAAACAAAAAGAGTAACAGCAGTGGAAGTCCCAGTGGAAAAATGTTACCGTAAATTTGTATGTACATCAGTCTATTGAGTTAATTTGGTGTTCTACTGCTGTATTCTGAAGCTCTGATGTACAAATAGATTATGAGATTTATCCTCGACTACAGCTCTCCAGGCTGTCATGGCAGAAGAAAAAGGGGGTTGAGGAAATAATGATTCTGTTTAGAGAGTAAAGTGGTGAACCATGGATTTTGGCCTAGTAGGAAATGAATTGTGATCAGGCAGATCTCATGGACTCAAAATGTGCAGCGGTCAAAGAAGAGCATGCTAAGTGAAAAGTAGGTGGCTCGCTTTTAATGCTATACAAATTATTTCGTACATTTTTTTACTTCTACCAAAAAAGTATTATATAAGTTGTTAATAGTAAATAAGTACTAATACTTATTGAAAAAAATAGTTTAAATTAAAAGAAAAATTTACTAATAGATTTGTTTTCTGAATATGCTCACAGGAATTTTTCTGATAAGATAAACATTTTGCTTCTTTTTGTAAATTTCACTTGGAAAATATGAGTGTCAGAAAAAAGTCCTCCAGTTTTTATTGATATTTAGAGGTAGGAAAAGAAGTAAACTCAAAAGACAATTAGAAAAATAAATTAATAATTTTAACATCTTCTCAGGATATCAATGACTTTACTTTGGAACACTCCTTTATTAATCAATTGCCAACATTTCATATGATATAGCAAAGTGTGATGCATAAGCTTACAGATGTCATATCTAAAACTACTGTAAAATTTTAATGAGAATTTTCCATATTTTAGGAATAGAAGATGAACAAACCCATAACATCATCAACATATGTACGCTGCCTCAATGTTGGACTAATTAGGAAGCTGTCAGATTTTATTGATCCTCAAGAAGGGTGGAAGAGGTTAGCTGCATCTATTAAAAAACCATCTGGTGATGATAGATACAATCAGTTTCATATAAGGTAACAAATAAAAATTTTTCTTTTTAAATTCTTATATCATAATCCAGAGTGATCAATATGTATAAATAAAATTGTCTAATATTGTAGTTTAGAAAATGAACCTCTCACTGTGGATAAGATAGTAGTAATAAGTAATCTTTTTTTTTCTTTTTGCAATTTTTGCTTCATTCCCCAGTATGTCACCAGGGCTAATATTGTGATGTTGCAAATAAATTTGGGGGTTAGAATCAAGATTCTCACCTTTGTTCTGGTTCTGTTTGGCAAATCAAGTACAGTTCATTCTGCTTCATACTTCTCATTTCCAGATTGAAGGAACATGAGAATATTGTAAGACTCTCCAGTAAAATTCTAGAGCCTAAACTTTGAAGTGTGTGAATCTCTAATGTACTCTAACAATGTCTTTTTGGAATTTTTCAAATCAACTTTTTAAAGTTATTGCTTATAATTGTACACACATCTATGAATAGAATTCTTAGATCTTAGCCAAGATTCTTCAATGCTATTTTCAGATAATTTCCATTTTTCCTCTTTACTCATCTCTGCTTGATTTAATCTAAAATATAAATGCCAATTTTAGTTTCATCAGTCATTGCAGTTAAAACCTGATTTAAAAAAAACCAAAAACCTAAGTCAAAATTTGGTTTGGGTGAAAAAAGGAAAAGAAATTTACTTGTGGTTTTCAGCATTGACCTGGTAAAGAACCTAAAGCCTTGGCTCCCATAGTAGTCCTTCCAGGAAGTGTTTCCTCATATGAAGGGTGAACATTTTAAATTACTTGAAAGAACTTCAGTTGAAACCTTGTAAGCCAATTTTTAAAGATAGTTTGTTGATATTACTGTTAAAAACTTATGGAGGATAGCTGGGGCAATGGCAACAGGAAGAAAAAGCTCTTCTTTACAGAATAATGCCAGCAAATAATTATTAAAAGAATGATAGAATTAGAAAGTTACCAATTTGCAACCACCAGTGAATAATTGATTCATGCAAGGCTCATTGGTGAGCCTAAAAGCATAAGGTGAATATGTTGGTAAACAGGACATGCATAAGATTTCAAAATATCCACAAATTACTTATGAATTATGAAGGGGGATGGAACTTTTATAATGAAGAAATCTTAACCAAGTGATCAAACTTCAACATCACCAGTAATGGTACAAAAAGCCATTATGTACCTCTGGATATGATATAGTAGGAAGAACACATTATCACCTAAGTAGTGTTCTAAAATTTTAATCTGAATTTAATCGTAAGAAAGTAGTTTGATAAATCTAGACTATGAGACATTCTCCAAGACATCTGGCCTACACTCTAAAACATTTCTGCCGCCCCAGAGGCACAGATTGATAGAGAGTACAAATGTGGCAAAATTTTATCCGTTGTTCCATTAGTGAATCTAATCGAAGGATAAATGGTTGTGCATCATTCTTTCAACTTTTCTGTAAGGTTGAAGTTTTTCAAAATAAAGACTTTAGAGGAAAAGCAGAAAAACTATATTGGTTAAGTTTTTAAATGTACTTTTGAAAACTAATTTTCAATTTTAAAGCAGTGGAATGAAAATGAATCTGTGTTTTTCCTTCAATTTAATTGAAATATAGTTAAGATTCAGGAATAATTCCCTAATGTTATATATATTCTATTTATTTAATTAAGCAGGCTGATTTATTAAACTTATATAACTAACAGAGTTAAGAAGTCATATAGGAAGTAATATAGCTAAGTAGGTTGAGAGCATACCCTTAGGTCAAGTGAGATCTGAATTTAGACCTCTACTTGAATTCATTTTATTGGCTGTGTGGCTAGGTACTGATTAACTCTCTAAGCCTGGCTTTCTCATTAGTAGAATAGTATGATAATTATAGTCTCTTTGAACAAGTTCATATGTGTGTATCCTGAAGCACACTAAGTACTCAATAAATACCCAGTAAATGTTAACTTTTATTATCATCTTTGGCATCTTTTTTTCCTTCTGTCTGTCTTTCCTGTCTCTTTGTAATTATTGCATGTTCACTTGCTCTTCATTTCCCTTAATACTATAGGAGGTGCTGTGGGTGAGATGGGGCAAGGGGATCAATTCCTATTTTCACATGAACTCAATTTATAGATGCTATGGTTTGAATGTGTCCCCTATATGGCCAGAGTAGGTTAGTTATCTCAGGAGTGGGTTACTGATAAAAAGAGGAGTTCAGCCCCCTTTATCTCTCTCTCCATCTCTGTCTCTTTCTCCCTCCCTTCCCCCACCCTCTCGCTTCCTCTCTCGCTTTCATGTGTGCATGTTCTTTTGCCCTTCCATCCATCTACCATGGAATGGTACAGCAAGAAGGTCCTCACCAGATGCAGCCCCTCAATCTTGGACTTACCCAGCTTCTAGAACTGTGAGCCAAATAAACTTCTATAATTTGTAAATTACTCAGTCTATGATATTCTGTTATAGCAGCACAAAACAATCTAAGACAATAGACTAATTTTATTTCTTTGTTACTTGCTTTTAAGGAGATTTGAAGCATTACTGCAAACTGGAAAAAGTCCCACTTGTGAATTACTCTTTGACTGGGGTACCACAAATTGCACAGTTGGTGATCTTGTGGATCTTTTGGTCCAAAATGAATTTTTTGCTCCTGCAAGTCTTTTGCTCCCAGGTAAACTGTGACCAGGGTGTCAACAATTAGAGTGGAAAGACAAATGGCAGAAATAGAAACATTTCTTCTCATGCTTACATTTTTCTCATAGTAGACAAACATTATACTTGAGAGTCCCTTTCATTCTTTCAGCTCTCCCCAACTCTTTTTTTTTAATTTCAAAATATTAAGGGGGTACAAATGTTTTAGGTTACATGGACCATTTCTGTAATGCTTGAGTCCTGGCTATAACAAGCCCCCCAGACAGGACAATTGTGGACTCTGCTGTTAAGGTGATGAAATCCTCATGAATGAGTCTTATCCTGCGATTAAAGTTAGGTCATTTTGTGTCACTAGGAAGTTTAGAAGGATACAGACTGTAGGAATATAGCTTAGGCTGTAAGAAAGTAATTATTCTTTTGAGCTCTTGCTTTTTTTTTACCTTCAATTTCTATCCTGATGGGACTCTATGATCATGATTCCCATAGATTGTATTCTAGTGTGTTAGTGTCTAGTTGCTTACCATTGATGCCATTTACACCAGTGGTTCTCAACCTTTATTGTGAATAAGAATCATTTGGCTTCTTTTCATACATGCTGATTCCTGAGCTCTATTGCAGACCTGCTCAATCAGAATTCTGGAATTGGGTTCAAGGTCTGTGTTCTTAAAAAAGTGCTTCAGTGCCTCTGGTGCAGGTGGCTCATGGACCACTTTTTGAAAACGCTGCCTTACCCTCCCTATTCATCTTTATCACAACTTACAGATTCTGTCTAGGTAGATTCTTGTGTATGCTGTGAAAATATGGGCCACCCTGTAGAAACTGGAATGATGTTAAATGAACCAAGTTTGTAGTTTAACTTTTTCACAAACACTTTTTCTTGTGGAAGAACAACTTGTATCTTACTTCATTTGACAGATGCTATCCCCAAAACCGTTAACAAGTTGCCTTGTCAAGAAGCTGTAACAGTTCAGCAGACGCAGATGCCTTTCTGTGGCAAAGATAGGACATCTGTGAGATCGGTGCAGAATCCTGAACAAAACTTTACACCCCCTGACTCCTCAAGTCCAGAAAATAAAAGTTTAGAAGTTAGTGATATACGTAAGTAACGTTTTCAGTGCTTTCCACTAGTGGATTTATCATTAAGACTATCACTGCTTTAAAGTAAAACTCTCTTTCATTTGTTTGTGCAGCAGTCAGAGGCATACCGACAGTAGCTCTTTTGTGGGTTTTTCCTCTTCTGATTTATTAAGTACCATTTTTATTGTATTAATTAGCATATTATCAGTGATTAGAGGTAATAGGACTTGCAAACAACCACAGAAGCTGTGAAAAAAAATAAGTAAATATTTATATAACTTGAAAGAATCACTTTTTAAAAAAATAAAATGCTACTAGAATTTTGGGTGAGTGACTACAGTGTTTGGAGGGTAGGATCAACAAACAGAATTCTCAAGATCTAGGTTACAATTTGTATTTTCAACATGGTTTTGCGCTCTCCCACCTTGCCTAATCTAAAATTGTAAACGTTTACATATATATGAAATCTTCAAATGAGAAAATACTGAAATTATTAAAAGACATTTCTTTTTTAAGCAATTTTTTTCTTATTTTATTAACCTTATTATAGGTTTTCACAACTTTTCATTTTATGAATTGAAGAATGTCACAAATAACTTTGATGAACGACCCATATCTGTCGGTGGTAATAAAATGGGAGAGGGAGGATTTGGAGTTGTATATAAAGGCCAAATGGACAATACAACTGTGGCAGTGAAGAAACTTGCAACAGTAAGTTATATTTTCAGAAATAAAAAGAATGAAAGGAAGAGTTGCTTCCTAGTGCTTTGTAATAGGTTTTAAGTTAATCTTGAGGAAATTTATTATTTCAGTAAGTATTGTCTTTAAATAAACACCTTTTTAAGCTGGTAGTTCTTGACATTTAAAAATCCATTGAAAACTATGGGCCCTATCCCTAGAAAAATGTAGGTATGTACACATACACATAACCATTCATGTAATTGTGGGAAATTCACAAAATAAAGTTGAAAAGCCCTGCTTTACAGAGTGCTTCATGCATAATCAGTATTAAAATGGTAAGATACTAAAAAAAATTTTATGAAACAACTTTGTTTGCATTACTTTTTCCATTAAATAATTAAGTTTATAAACTGTACATTTAGAAAAAGGAGATTGAAAAATTTCTTGTCTGTGTCTTTTGTTCCCATTTCTATTGAAGTTTTCACCATTTAATTATTTATTTATTATATTCTGAATCTGCTGTTATATCCTAAAAATATCCATAGAAAAATAACAAAAAAATAAATAAAATACATGTGTATATAATGAGAGTCACTGCAATATATGTTACATATGCTTTTGCAGGTTTTGTTTTCCTTTTTGATTTCAAATTTACTTGTGTTTTCTGTTTTCCAGATTTTTTTTCAAAGTTTGTATGCAGTAAAGTCTTATTATTTCATTTTCTTCTTATAACAACTCAGTGAAATTTATATATTTTTTTTATTTCACTAACTAGCCATGGACCTTGAGCAAATCATTACTATTTCTAGACCTCAGTTATTCTATGAAATGGGAAAAATAAAATCTTATTAGTTTAAAGAAAGGGAGATCAGGCGACTGATCTCTTGAGCTCCCTTCCAGCTTTAGGATCTTTGGAGTTATTGTATTGTATTACATAGTATATGCTACTTTATTTTTTCAGATGGTTGACATTAGTATTGAAGAACTAAAACAACAGTTTGATCAAGAAATAAAAGTAATGGCAAAGTAAGTGTTAATTTGGCAGTGTCATATAATGAAAAAGAAAAGGATGAAAAGTAAGGAACCTTCTTCATTCTAGAGTATGCCATTAGCTAGTGATATTTGCAAATATATGAAACTAAAATAAAGGGTTTAGATTAGAGGAATTGAAAGTACTTTTGGCTCTGTAATTCTATGACTACATATACTCATGTATCTGTAGATTAAACAGCAATTTAATTTAAGTCAGTATTTTAAATCACAGAAGGTTATACGGAATTTCAACTATCTTCCATTATCATGCTTTCTGCTCCCAGGATTCAGGGGATATCAATTATAAGGATACCTTAAAAAAAAACTATTTATAGGATAATAGGCGTTTCATTGTAAGTTAGCATCCATAAAGCAATAGGGAAGTGTTCCATGCAAAGATGCTTCGAAGGCATTGACCCAGTATGCTGAAAAATGTTTGTCATCATCAGGAAGAGTAGGAGGAACAAATAAGTTATAGATAAGTTATTTCAGTAATTATAGTGATTGATATTTGAGTGTGTACAATATACCAGACACTGTGCTGTGTACTTGTTTTAACCCTCTTTTATGTCTTTTAATTATCTCTTTTAACATTCACAACTGTTACAAATTCCCTTCTTTTTCTTAACTGAGATTTAGAAACATTAAATAACGTGGCCAAAGTCACATAGCCAGTAAATATTAGAGAAATTATTTAAATCCAGATGTCTGATTCCAGAGCCTAAGCTTTTGGTCGGAATCCTGGTGGGATTTACCAAATTATAGCATTAGACCCAGTACTGTAAAATCACCAGTTCCAATTACTTAACTGTAAGCAGGAAAGAATAGACTGAAATTTGATTCATGCACAATAAAAGTAATACACACTGAAAAAAGATCAAATCTCTTTTTTTTTCAGGATTTGTTTTTCCCACCATTACCCCCACTCTCCAATCCTAAAAGTAATTTGTTCAAAGTAGGTAATGTGGAAAATACAGGAAAATGTTTTTAAAATAATTAAACTATCTCTCAAATATACCACTTGGAAATAACCATTACTAACATTTGATATACTTGCTTCATGTTTACATAGCATTTTTGCCATGTCATAAAGATTAATTTAAAAGCATTTTAAATTATTGTACAACACGCTAGCATATGTGAGGATCATATTTTATTTAAGTATAACCCTACTAGGTTTATCCTGAATTTTCAATATTACAAATTAAAGCTTCTTTAAAGCTCTTTTTACATGAATTTTTAAATGCATTTCTACTTATTTCATCAGGATAAAGTCCTAGAACAAGAATTACTAAGTAGGAATGCATGAACTTTTTAAAGACTTTCCTAATATATATCCAAATGACGTTATAGATAAGTTATAGTAATTTATATTCCCACCAGCCATGTATTACAATTTCAAATTTCACTGTTTTCTCACCACCACTGAATATTATTACTATTTTTTAATAAGTGCCAATCTCTGGATCTTACTAGCAGAATGACCTTGACCATTCTATTTATTAGTTTTCTCATCTATAAAATGGGATGATGATAATAGTACTTACTTCAATAAGTTATTGTGAGGGTTAAATTTTAAAAAGGATTTAAATCACTTTCCACAATGCCTTGTATATCATATAAAGCCAGCAAATGTGAGTTATTCATGTTTAAAATATGCCAATTTGGTGGAAAATGGAACACTTATTGCTTTAATTTACACTTCTTAAAATATCTGAGAGTAGAGGAAGTCTGATTTAATATAACAAGATGCTAGAATTATAGATCATTTTGAATGAACAAAATGAATAAACACTTGAATGGAACACTTATATCTATAAGGTATGTTTCTAAGCTCTCGTACATATATGTGCTCATTTAATTCTCACAGCATCCATATTACATAATAGGCATTATTTTCTAGACTTGGCACTGTAAAAAAATTATCTTCGTGAAACTTAGGAAGTGCAGGGCTCACAGCAGGAGGTGAACAGCTGGCAAGTGAGCGAAACTTCCCATCTAGGGAAACTTCCCATGGCTCCCATTACTGCCTGAGCTCTGCCTCCCTATGCATGGAAAATTATCTTCCATGAAACTGGTCCCTGGTGCCAAAAAAGACTGGGGACCACTGATAGAAGCTGAGGCTCAGTGAGATTTTTCTGTTTTTTTGAGACACAGTCTCACTCTGTCTCCTCAGGTAGAGTGCAGTGGCTTCATCATTGCTTACTGCAACCTCCAACTCCTGGGATCCTCTTGCCTCAGCCTCCCAAGTAGCTTCCACAGCACCTGGCTAATTGAGGTTGTTAACTTGTCATAGGTCATATATCCAGGAGGTGGCAGAGCTGGACTTTAAACTTAGGACTTTGAACTCTGAGCTCTGTTTTCTTTCTGCTGTACCACAGATGCCTGCAGTTTTGTTATAATGCAGGTCTCTTTAATTTTATTCCTTTCAAGTATATAAAGAAATTCAAATTAGGTTATAAATAATTAGATGTGATTAAAGATCAGAAATGTCTAAATTGGATGTAATGAAAGATCATGTCTATAAATCAGTACTTTTAGTATGTTAGAGAATTCTTGAAAGTGTTATAAAAGTTTCAACAGACTTCTTGAAATCTTATTTGTGCTATCACTGAAAATTGTGCTAAACAAAAGTAAGCATTAGCCTAGTCCTTAACCAAACTACCACAAGTTCCAATGATCTGAATTATTTGTCTTTTACCATAAAATAGAAAGTTTTGCTTCTAATGTTGATCAATATGGGCTGAAAAAAACTATAGAAAATTATAAACAGTTAACAATAAACATATATAATAAATGATATATAACATTATTTTCTTGCTCTTTTTTTCTGTTAAAACTCTAAATTGAATAACTTCTAACCTAAAGATGAATGTATAAGTATTTATTAAAATAATGGAAAATTATTTGTCACAGGTGTCAACATGAAAACCTAGTAGAACTACTTGGTTTCTCAAGTGATGGAGATGACCTCTGCTTAGTATATGTTTACATGCCCAATGGTTCACTGCTAGACAGACTGTCTTGCCTGGTAAGATATTTGTTCATCAAATTGTTTGGCTTTGTATTTCTATGTTGGAATACTAATATTCTCTTTGTGACAGAATCATTTAAACCATATTAAACTTAATATTTTTCCTGCTTTATGAAGTATACAGTTAATATGTAAACAACTGGGATTGCTGTTCTCTTAGGTAATAATCTAAAATGTAAAATTATCAGTCAAGGTTAGACTATGAAGTTGCTTTTATATATTTTTATCTTCAAATAAGAAATGCTAACCTCTATTTGATCTTATTTGGATATTATTTTTTAACAAGTTAAATAATTGTAGTCCTAAATTCTTAGTGCTATAATATCATCTCCAGTTGTTGCCTAGAAAAATATTCTGTGTTAGATATTTTCTACAGATTTTTGTCATCCTTTTTTTAAATCAATTTGTTTCTTCATAAGGATGGTACTCCACCTCTTTCTTGGCACATGAGATGCAAGATTGCTCAGGGTGCAGCTAATGGCATCAGTTTTCTACATGAAAACCATCATATACACAGAGATATTAAAAGGTAAATGCTACTGTTAAAAAGGGTTTGAAAAGCCATCTTTAAAGAATAATTTGCTCTCACTCTTCTATTCACTATTCACATGTGTGTCTTAATGTACAGCATCTGGACTTTTCCCCTCATCATTCCATGAAAGTTCTTCTCACTAAAAACATCTATAATCTCCTTTATTCCAAACCCAATGACCTATTTTCAGTACTCACCCCACTTGAACTTTTTTTTTTTAAATATCATGTTATTCTGTTCTTCTTGCCACTTTTTCCTTGTGGAAATTAGGTTTTTTCTTAGTTTCTGGATCACCCTCTTTTCTGAATCACCTTTGTCCTCCCTGAATACTTTTTGATTCTCTTCCTTTGTATGTATTTATCTAGTTAAACATTTACGTATTATATGCTAGGTAATGTATATAATATAGTTAGTAAAAGTAGTGTATATAGTTTGACATCAATCAAATAATCACAAAATAATAATAGAATGTTAGTGTATAGTATAGTATAGTATAGTATAGTATAGTATAGTATAGTATATAAGATTAGTATAAAGACAGGTTCCCAAGAATATGATATTTAAGCTGAGATCCAAAGAATGAGTAAGAAATTAGTAGGCATAATTTGAGAGTAACTATAGAAGATGGGGTAAAGAACATTCTAGGCAGAAGGAACTGCATTCTGTAAGACTAGTTGTGAGAGGAAATATGAGAACATGAATGAAAAATGAAATAAATGCAGTATGACTGACATATCGAAAGTAAGGAGTAGTGGATGGGAGATAAAACTATAAAGATAGGCAGGGAGATAGGTGCCTTAGGACCTAATAGACCAAGGTAAGGAACTTAGATTTTGTCATAAATGTAATGAGATACACTTGAAAATTTTAAGTAGGGATGTGGCATCAGATTAAGTTTTGCAAAGATCACTTTGACTGCAGTGTAGAGAACATTTTGTAAGATAAAGCAGTTAGTAGGGTATCATAGAAGTCTTGGTGGTGGCAGTTCATATGAAGAGAAGTGAGAGTATAAGATGGCAACACTTGCTGATATCTTGGCTGTGGAGGAGAAAGTATCAGGAATGACTCTTGGAATTATGGCATCCAGAATTGCATTCTGGAATGATTGTGGCATGATTCACTTATATAGAAAGGACTGAAAGAGGACCAGGTTGGGCTGGGGTTAGAAGGGTGGTTAGAAAATATGAGTTCTCTTTTGTATATGTTGTGCTTGAGGTTCTTTTAAGATATAGAAGTGGAGATGTTAGACTGTGTGATAATATAGATTTGGAGCTGAACAAAGACTGAGCTGAAATATAGATGTGTGCATTACTTGCATAAGATGATAATGGAAGAGTTATCATAGGGTTGTATTCACTTCAGGATAGCTATAGATTAAGAAAAGGTCCTAAGATTAAGACCTGAGGGACCATAAGACTTAATGTAAAAGAGAATGATCTTTTAGAGGAATCTAAAAAAGTATATACACACAGAAAGAGAGGATGAAAACCAGGGAAGTGTGATGACCTTGAAAACAAGAAAAGCATTTCCCAAGAGGGAGTAGTCAAAAGAGTCAAGTGCTTTAACCATTGGATTAGCATCACACAGGTCATTAGTGACTTTATGGAGACCCATTTCCACGTAGTAATTGGGTCAGAAATCAGGTGGCAGTTGAGGAGAAAGTGGGAGATAGAGAGCTTCAATGTGAGTGTAGGTAAGTCTTTTAAGACATTTTACTAATGAAGGTTGATGGCTGGAAATAGATGTGTCATAGATGTCTCATTTGGTAAACATTTTGTTAAGATAGCAGAAACTAAAGCATGTTTATATGTCTATGGGAAAGATCCAGATAAGAGGGAAAAGCTACAGTAGAAAAGAGAGTGAGGTAATTTATAGAGTAAGGTTCCTGAGAATGTAGTAAACAGCCCACGCAGAGGGACTGACGTTAGGTAAGAAGAGACACCATCTGCCTTCCCTTATGTATTGGTATTCTCTTGTGTTCTTACTTCATTGTCTCTTCTACATGTTCTTGATGAGTGGTATTATGTTGATTTTAACTGCTGTCTATATGTGGGTGACTCTCAAATCTGTGTCATCAGCTTCCAATCCTGTATTTTCAGTAATCCATACCAAAAACACTTCACCTAGATGTCCCACAGGAGCCTCTAAGTCAACCTATCAGAAATCAAACTCATCATCTCTTCCATCCCAAAGTCATCTTCCTGTATTTCATTTCTGATCAAATGAAGTCACTATTCATTCTCTCTCCCAAGCCAAGGACTTTCTCATTCCCTATATCATAGTAATTACAAAGTTCTGTTGAGTGTGCCTCAAAATTTTCATTTTCCATTTATCTGCAGGACTGTGCCTTTGTTTAGATTCTCGTTATTTCTCATTTGCTTTATTATAAGCCTTTCTACTTAACCTAAAACCAATCTGTACCTGTTCTCATTTATTCAATATAACACTACCAGGTTATGGTCCTAAAGTCAAGTCTGATAACATCAGTTCCCTACTATGGAAAGTTTAGCTAGTATCCTTTTGCTCATAGGATAAAGTTAAAATACTCCCCATGTTCCATGGACACTGGTTCCTTGAAATTGATCATATATACCATGTGCTTTTATGTTTTCATCACTTTGTACATGTTACTACATTTGCCTGAAATGTCTTTCTTTCACTTTCCTTGTTTTCAAGGTCATCACACTTTTCCTGGAATCGTTTAAAGATATGCAGAATTAAGATACTTTGGTTAAAAATTTGAGTTAAATGAGAAATGTTACGAAAAAAATTAGGAAAGGTGCTTTGGAAGACTTCGTGGAAAATTATCCTGTAGTAAATTATTTGTGGAATAATGAAAATACCTCTTACTGACATGGATAGTTTTATTTTATTTTGATTCTTCTAAAATTTTTCCTTAAAAAACAAAGAGGAAAAGAAGACAGCAATTCTTTTTAGCTGTAATCTGAATTCTACATTTATTTCCACAAATTTCAGGCTTTTATGATACATACTATAAAATGGTATACTCTGGAAACACATGTGTACATATATGTATGCATATATACATACATACATAAATCTATTTGAGGAAACATTTGACTTCCTTGGGAAAAAGAAACATTTTTTTCCTCCAAACTTTAATTTTTTTCAGTGCAAATATCTTACTAGATGAAGCCTTTACCGCCAAAATATCTGACTTTGGGCTTGCGCGGGCTTCTGAGAAGTTTGCCCATACGGTTATGACGAGCAGAATTGTGGGAACAACAGCGTATATGGCACCTGAAGCTTTGCGAGGAGAAATCACACCTAAATCTGACATTTATAGCTTTGGTGTGGTAAGTTCCATGTTTATAATAGTAAAAATAATCATTCTGCTGTAATTGTGAAATTGAAGTAGAATATTATTTTAATATACCTGTCACGATTAGCTCTCTAGTGTAACTATAAATTGCTCACATTAACCTCTAGCTACACTAGAAAGTTTATAAAAATTTCTCCCAATGTGTAAAACTTTTTAGTTGATGTTTGAAATGACTGCAAGAAATGATTTTCTTGCCACCTATCCTGTATGAATTAGCATGACACTTAATGCATTAAAGGAATCATGTCACACATGATTAGTATCATATTTTTTGGCATTTTCTAATGTACCCATCTATTCCTAATAACTTTTAAGATAGAATAAGTGTATAAGTGTACCTTTTTCTCTGCATCCATGCAACATCCATGCAGCTATGTTGTTTTTTGACTTTTTTATAATGGCCATTCTGACAGGGGTAAGGTAGTATCTCATTGTGGCTTTCATTTATATTTCCCTGATGATTAGTGATATTGAACATTTTTTCACATGTCTATTGACCATTTGTCTACCTTCTTTTGAAAAAAATCTGTTCATGTCTTTTGTCCACTTTTTGGTGGGGCTAGGCCTATGTCTAGAAGAGTTTTTCCTACCTTTTCCTCTGGAATGTTTATGGTTTCATGCCTTATGTTTAAGTGTTTCATCAATCTTGAATTAAGTTTTCTGTATGGCAAGAGATATGGGTCCTGTTTCATTCTTCTGCATGTGGCTATCCAATTTTTTCAACACCATTTTAAAAAATATGGTGTCAAAAAGCTAAAAGTAGACCCACCATTCTATCCAACAATCCCAATACTGGATATCCACCCAAAGGAAAAGAACTCATTTTATCAAAAAGACACCTGCACTAAAATGTTTATCGCAGTATAATCCACAATTGCAAAAATATGGAATCAACTTAAATGCTTATCAATACATGAGTGGATAAAGAAATGTGATATATTGTGATATATATATGTGATATAGATATGTACACATATATATGTATATATATGTGTGTGTATGTATACACAAACACACACACACACACCCCATGGAATTCTACTCAGCCATAAAAGGAATGATATAATGTCATTCACAGCAACTTGGATGGAACTAGAGATCAATATCCTATTGAAGTATCTCAGGAATAGAAAAACGAATACCACATGTTCTCACTAATAAGTAGGAGCTATAAAATGGGTGCACGTGGGTACAAAAAGACATAAAGGACACCGGAAACTAAGAAGAAGGGAGGGTGGGACATAAAATTACCTATAGTGTACAATGAACACTGTCCTGGTAGCAGGCACACTGAAAGTCCTGACTTTAGCATTATAGAGTGTATCCATGTAACAAAAACTTTCATACCCCCCTAACATTTTGAAATTAAAAACTAAGATAGAATAAGTGGTAAGTATGAGTGGTTGGAGAAATTGGGGAGTGGGAGATGTCTTCATCTTATTTTTTCAGATGTGTTTCATCTGTGTAAATTTAATTTCATAGCACAGTAAAGTTAAGACACAGGGTGATAGAATATGCCTGACGTTTAGAAAATAATATTCTCCTGAGAGCCATAGAAAATTATTCTTGTAAAGAATCCTCTGCAGGGCAAGAAAAGGATTGGGAATTCCTAGAACACATGTTATGTAAAGCTGATTGTTTAGTAAGTTGCCAATAAAAAAAGAACTGTTTATGGGCATGGTGAGACCCTAAGGTGTCCACAGAAGAGCGGTGGTGAGAAATGCCCATAGCTCACGTTCTTTCCATTTTAATACCTAAAAAGACATAGGCTTTGAATGAAAATGATTAATCAGATTTTATAATCAAGATCCATATTCCTTCTAGTTCCTATATGTTGTCTTGGGTATTATATTAATGGATTTTTTTGTCTTCATAGGTTTTACTAGAAATAATAACTGGACTTCCAGCTGTAGATGAACACCGTGAACCTCAGTTATTGGTAATTGAAAGATTAATTTTTTCTAATCCTTTTCTCTTTGCATGTATAGTCTAAATTTGGCATCTAGAAATGACATTTTCTACTGGCAGTCTTTCCATTGGCAATTACGTGGTAGCATGTGGAAAATGCATTAAATATTTCTGATCTCAGCTCTGCCATGAAGTATTTGTGAAGCCTAGAAAAGTCATTTATGTATTCTTTGTTCTGGTTTCTTTGTAGGTAAAGTGAGAATAGAACTAAATGATTTCCAAGGTCTCTTTGGTTTATTTTTATTTTGCTACTTTCAGGGTAGTTACTGATAGCGTTTTCAGGAAGGAAAACCATGTTATGTGTTCTAATGGGACAAACCAGGGTTTAGACAATGTACATGTACCAGATTGTATCCCTAGAATGGGGATTAGAAAGTCAAAAAGTATAACTTATTTGTTCAGTGGCCTGGTGCCATACTTTATTGAGAAAAGTCATAAGTATAATATCTATTTGTTATAATATTGTTACAGATATTAGTTATAAAACTGTATAAAACTTTTAAAGCTTTTCATGGTATACTGGAAATTCAATAATATAATATGACATGTAATATAATATTTCACATTAGAGTATATTAATAGAAGATAATATTGTAAAAAGTTATTTAATATAATATTTAATATAATAATTAGATTTTTGCAGTGGTACATTAAAAGTAAAATCTTAATCAGAGAAATAAAATTCTCAATCCCATTGGTAGTTGGAGGTCAGGAGGAATACAAGTATAGATAAAGCTTTGGGTGTGGATTGAATTACTACAGAGAAAGCGTATAGATTGAAATACAGGAGGACAAGGAAAAAAGGCATTGGAGGGCTAAAGATGGAACCCAGTGTTTCAGTAATTTACAGCTTATACTCCTGTCTAAAGGCCTACATTTTTCATCCTTTTGCCTAAAACTGTTTCTCTTCAGAATGTATAAAAGCCTCAAAACTTTGAGTAAGGATGAAATGCAGAAAAACACAGGACCTATTTCACTTACAAGTTTTGCACTTTCGCATGTAATAGCAAAAGTCATAAAACTTCAGGGAAGGTTATACTTTTTCACCCATTAAGGATTGACTGTAGTATGACTATAAAGTAATAAGATTTTAATATAAGTCCAGTTAAAAGGGAGTGATCCTTTAAAGAACTTTTATATCACTATTAATAGATTCTGCCATTGCTAACCACTTTCAAAATTCATCTTGTGAAAGGGTTTTTAGAGAATTTACATTCTACGTCTCATAGTCTTTTCCATCTTTATTAGTTTCCTAGGCCTGCCATAAAAATTTACCACAAAGTGGGTGGCTGAAAACAACAGAAAGTCATTCTTTCATAATTCTGATTGCCGGAAGTCTGAAATCAAGATGTTAGCAAGGCCATGCTTCCTCTGGAGGCTCTAGGGTTAATCCTTCTTTGCCTCTTTTAGCTTCTGGTGGCATTCCTTGACTTACAACCTCATCAATCCAATCTCTGCCTCCATGGTGACATTCTCTTTGGTGTCTGATTTCTTTCTCTTTTTGTCTCTTATACAGACAGTTGCCATTGGATTTAGGGCCTACCTAGATAATCCAGGATAATCTCATCTCAAGATACTTAATTACATTTACAAAGGCCCCTTTTTTCAGATAAGGTCATTTTAACAGGTTCCAGGAATTAAGACATAGACATATGTTTTAGGGGGCTACCATTCAACCAACTATACCATTCTAGTCCTACACCTCTCTCCTTACTCATTATGTTTTCATCATGGCCCTCTCCCCCTTTTCTCCCTCCCTTTTTCTCTTTCATTCAACAATCTGATTACCCATAGAGAAGTTTGTCAGGTGCAGGGAGCAGGTGTCTGAGTCCAGAAGCTGGAATTGCACTATTAGAAACACATCAGGAAGCAGCCCACCCTGTGCTGTAGGCCTAGTAAAAGCTGCAATGGGAACATAAGAGCAATTAGCTCATAACATAAATATAAAAATTAGAAGGCAAATGGGTGGAAATATCTAGGAGTTATAAATAAAAATATATATCTTTATACACATGCACATACAAATGTATATACACACACATACATATGGGAGAGTGTATGTATATATACATATGTATATATGTAGTCAAGTTGCTTAATGACAGAATGCATTCTGAGAAATTCATCATTAGGCAATTTCATCATTGTGCTAACATCCTAGAGTGTATTTACACAAATGGAGATGGTATAGCATGCTATACACCTAGGCTATATGCTATAACCTATTGCTCCTAGGCTATAGACTTCTACCATGTTACTGTATTGCATACTGTAGGCAATTTTAATACAGTGGTATTTATGTATATAAATATATCTAAACATGAAAAGGTACTATAAAAAGATGGTATTATAATCTTACAGGACCACCATCATCATATATGTAGCTTGTCATTGACCAAAAATATCACTTTGCAGTGCATGACTGTATTTATTTTTTAGGGTTTGTCCTGTACGCCTTCAGTTCTTAATAAGATTATAAAAGAAGATAGTAAAAATGAGAATACATGTAATTCCAAAGTAGCTTAATTTAAATAAATTTATATTCTAATTTCTTTCACTTTTTTGAAGCTTTTAATAAAGTTTTAACCCTCATTTTAAAGCTAGATATTAAAGAAGAAATTGAAGATGAAGAAAAGACAATTGAAGATTATATTGATACAAAAATGAATGATGCTGATTCTACTTCAGTTGAAGCTATATACTCTGTTTCTAGTCAATGTCTGCATGAAAAGAAAAATAAGAGACCAGATATTAAGCAGGTATTAATTTTTTACACTTATTTAAAAAGTGAAAGGGGAGGGGTTTATCATTTTTTCCTAAGTGTATATTTCAAACCAACTGTGTAATGTGGTTTTGTTTTTTTCTATCTTTCTTTTTAAAAGGTTCAACAGCTGCTGCAAGAGGTGACAGCTTCTTAGAACTTTATTGGAATAGACTTTTGACTTTTTATACTCAGCTATCTAAACCATTTTTAAACTAATTTTTTTAAACATTCTTCTTTACCTTTAACAAAGGAGCCTGGTGCAGTGCAGTGGTTATTGAAGCATGGGTTGAACTTACAACGTAAAGAACAAATAAAAGTAGAGCCACCACATCAACAATTAGCACTACCCACTTAGTATCACCCTCAATTCTTGAAATAATCCCTGAAACATCACCTTTAAACATCATCAAACACTGTTTGAAAACTATGGGATTAGCAAAAAGAAAACAGGCTATAGCATGAAAAGACCTTGGTCTGAAGCCTAACTCCACTACTAATTTGCTGTAAAGCTTTGGTCAAACTCTTAGCAGCTGTGAGCCTTGGTTTTTTTCACTTACATCATTGGACTAGCATCTGCTGTACTCAACAGGTAGTCATAAAAATCAAATGATGCAGAATATATAAAAGCACTTTGTAAATGATAAATTGATATGAAATTTAAAGTTTATAGAGACAATTATAAAGTCCTATTACAACAGTATGTTTATAGGCTTATGTTCAGTGTTATTTTAAGCAGTCATTCACCACAAACCAAATATCCCCTAATGATGCTGCCATAATGATGTCTGTTATTATCTTATGCTACATGGCAAATTTGAAGGAATTTTGTAGCTGTAATTAAGGTTCCTAATCAACTACTTTTGAGTATCAAAAGGGAGATTGTGTTGAATGGGTCTGACTTAATCAGGTGAACCCTTTACAAGAAGTCAGAGATTCTCCTCTGGGCCTTGAAGAAGTACCATGATGTAATAGGGCCACATTGGCTAAAACCTACAGATGGCCTCTGGGAGATGAGAACCACCCTCCAGCTGTCAGCAAGCAGGAAAAAAATTGGACCTCATTCGTACAACCACAAGGAACTGAATTCTGCCAGCAATCTGAATGAACTTAGACAAGTACTCCAAGCTTCAGGTAATACCACAGCCTGGGCTAATACCTAGATTCCAACTTTGCCAGACTCTTGGTATGAGAATCTATCTGAGCTTGCCTGGACTTCTGACTTATAGAACCATGAGATGATAATAAATGGGGTTGCATTAAGCCAAGTTTATGGTAATTTATTATGCAGCAATAGAGAATGAATATAGACTACTCCCATGATGATTCTCCCATGATGATTTCTCATATTTACAGGTTCTACCCACACCTGAGGGGTATATAGAAATTATAGAGCATGTACACCAGATTGTAGTGTATATACTGATTTTCACTGGATTTCTCTTTTCATCAGCCCCTAGTCTTTTGTAGTTTGTTTTACCATAGAGAGACCATTGGATAGTAGTGGCAAATTTTTAATGATTTTTAACTATTTAAGTTTAAAATTCTTAATTGATTTATATGAAGATGCATTACAGCTTTTAGTGAGAAGGAATTTACTTAAACATAAAAGTGATAGAAAAACTGCTATGCATAGAAGGAATACCTAATGTCTGTTCAGTCATTCGATAATACCTATTCATTCATTCAATAATCTGTGTCATTAACACACCCAGAATAAGAGAATGTAGAGTGAGCTGTAGCAGAAGAGGATCATCCTCTATTGTGTATTGTTTATAAATTAAATATTTAAGCAGAAAGAAACATTTGCTAGTTGAGGAGGAAAAAGAAAATAAAATGATTTAGCCCAAATCTAAGCAGGAACCCACATAATTTGAGACACAGTATGGTTTATAATACTGATAATTATTTTAAAATGTAATAATTTACCTATTTCTTGAAATACATGTGTAAAATAGTATATATATAGCTTATATGGACTGTGAGCAAACCATATTAAAATTTCTTTTAAATGTAAACCACTTCATTGACTTTAAAAATTTTACAATATGATAGATGTTTCCATTTCGTCAAATAGAATTGATATCAAATTTACCAAAATTAGGCCTAGCTTCCTTCTTAGATAAGACTGTACCTTAACTCTTTTGAAGGCAATAATACAGTAAATTTAAGATAACAAATCAGATGTTTAATACACTGTTTCGTCTCTTTGCCTGACGATAACTGATCCATCGTGGACTCTGATGGTTTATCCAAAGAAAATGTGAAAGTATATACACTAACTTAAAATGCACACCTCAAGACATTGTTTTAGTTCTGGATAGAAATGCCTTAGACAGTTTATATATTTAAAAGTTTTAAAATCAGCCCTGTTAAAGCTATTAATATTTCTGTACCTTTTGTAAAACTGCTACCAAAGACACTCATTGTGTAATGTACCCCCAATAAAAAGGATCTATGATACTGAATTGCACACAGAAGTCCACTGAACATTTTAAGAGTTTAGTGTCAAGTAAATTGTCACCTTATTATACTGGGATGCTTCTATCACAAGAGGAACTGCATAACTAATAGCATTTTCATTACTGCTGTTAACAGTGGCAAAGTTCTAATCTAAACTGAGCACCCTATAGTCATAACTATTCTTGCCTAAATTTTAAGCTACTTAAAATCCTCTTTGGACCCAGGCAGGCTAATTAACAAATGAATAAACAATAAACTATCACCAGGTATTAAATTATGCAAAATAACTCAAACATTAAAAAATTATAGAAAATCAACTTAGAACATACACAACTTAACGAGAAAAAATTTTATTGTGATATAAAATGCACTTATAAAATGTCCACAGAAGGCATGGAATTCTTCACTGCTATATAAATTTACTGGGAATATGTTATTCACCATCTAGTTATGATAATGCCACCTAAAACATAGTGTAAACGATAAGTTATACTCCATAACAAATGCATCACTGATTTTCAGCAATCATTGGTTTATTAATAATTAGTTTAAGACTACTTAATCACATCTATATTCTGGAATGTCCATTTACTTTCATGTAGTGTAGCAGAATTTAGAGTATAATTGCACATGGATGATAGAAAAAAACATTCACTACTAAATTATTTTATATATCGTCATGACAGGTAGCATTCTTCTGACTGAAACTAACAGCTTCAGCTATGGTCTGCAACATAGCTCCAGGATTTTCAATGTAATAATTTGTGTGTACGCATGTCTATGTGTGCACCCATGGAAAACTTAAAGTATATCTTTAGTAAATAAGTGCAACATTGTTGTTGATTACTTTGCATGTTTAAATATTACAGTCTGATTATTTGTAAACAAAACCCCACACAAATACTCTAAATTCTATTTTAAAAATTCTGTCAACTCATAATTATTCTTATACACTTTACTTACTTGAACACACATTGAATTTCTGAAAGGTGCATACATTACCTTAGATAACAAGGTTTAGAAATGAGTGCTTTATACTATGCAAAATGTGCATTTCTGATTTTTTTAATGCAGCACAAGGTTTAGATCAAGAAATAAATCCTGGATCCCCACAGTTCATTTAGGAAATGCCTCAAAGTTATGGCTCTTGCAGCAGGTTTAACAAAGTGTTCTAGCTCTCTCTATTTCAAGTATTAAAGAAATATGAGGCTCAAAATCTCTCTAGGTTGTAACTGAAAATGCAAAGCTTTAGAAAAAAGTTAAATGTGCTTAGAAATAAAATATTAATTGAAACGAGATTCTTAAGGTGTTTGTGTTAGGCCAAGTACTAGGACTTTAAAACAATTTTAAATCTGAATATTTGCTCAGAAGTGATAAAGAATACAATTTGCCTATAAATATATGGTTTTGGGGGCAAAAGTCAATCTTGATGTTTAAAATTTTTCCACATTTTTTTACTTTAGTTTTGTTCCCTTTTGAATGATATTCACTTAATTTCAATCTGAACATAAATATTTGGCCCCATAGTTCTTATAATGAAATGACTTACTTTGGAAATGCAATTTTTTTAAAGCACTAGAGAGAATTTACTAAGGCTGTTCAAAGACTTTCAATGTCATCAGAAATCCTGCAGTATAGAAAATATCTAGTACCCTTGAAGTTTCAGAATAAGCCGATCTTGTGAAATTTCAATGCCATTAAAAAAACCAAATGTCAAATAGAAAAGACTGCTGCAATGAAGTACTGTTTCTAAAGGTTGCAGACATGATCCCACAGTCTGACAGAGTTAGCAAAGCTCCTCAAAGTAAGCCAACTTCCCACCTTTTCCTAGGCACACTGAATTTTCAGCTTAAAAAATAATCTAACCTGGTTCTTAACATATTCATTAAGTAGAATGAATATCTTAAGGTCTTTCTGTCTCTCTTAAAGAAGAATTCAGATATTTCACTAAAATGTAATAAAAAGTATATCCTACTTTGAGACATCAGACTTTCTGGAACTGGCCCAACTGTATAAAATTTTAATAATTATGTGAAAGTGTGGAATCAACATTCTATGAAAACAGTGTGACAAAATTAAACATTATGTTGAATCCTTTTCTAACTTTAACTCAAAAATAGAAATAATGAGTCTTATATAACATTATTTTAAAAACACACAGAGGTGAAAAGTGCTATTTTTCAAAAAGTACAATTTTTTTCCCTACTATATATCAATGTGGAATGATTTCAGTTCTCCTGTACTAAAAGCCAGACTTTTAAAAAACTAGTATTGCAAAGTTTAATGTATAGATTTTAATCAGTAGTGGCTTCAGTTTCAGCTGGACCCCTAATTAGTCTCCGAATTCCTCTTTTTCCTGCAGGACCTTTTGGTTTTGCAAAACTCTGCTTATGCGCATGTTGCTTGGGATGTACTTCTTCATAAAGGAAGTCTGCAGTCAATTCATCCCCATTGTCTATCTCAATCTGTAAAAGATGAAATTAGTAGTATAATAATACAATATAAGAAAAAAAAAGCACATTTAAAATCTAATACAATCAACAATCCAGTTTTCAGGTATGATGCTCACAAATAAGTACATAACATCTATTCCGGCAAGACAGAATCAAGGACCATGTAAATAGTTTCATTTTCTTCTTTTGGGGGAAGGGTGAAATGAGTTGCTTGACTATGTAATCAGCTATAATCACCTCTATTTGGTTCCCCCTTACTGCTCCAATTTCAACAATGTTTAAAAGCAGAAGCCAACACTGTATTCTCAAGTTGGCACATTATATATTCAAGACACATTACTCATGGCCCCTTCATCACTTAGGCCACTCAGAATCACTCTAGAACAGAAGTCAGCAAACTATGGCCTACATGCCAAATCTTGCCCAAGCTAAGATTGTTTTACAGTCTTACAGGTTGTTAAAAACAAACAAAAAGAATATGTAACAGAGACCTTATGTGGCCTATCAAGGCCTAAGGATATTTACTATCGAGTCCTTTATAGAAAAAGTCAGCTGATCCTTGCTGTAAAAGGTGCTACCCATTCTAAAGTGATTCTTAAAATCTTAAAAAGCTTGAAAAGTCAAGTACCTAAAATATTGGTAATTTGTAAGGACCTGTAGTTTAAGAGTTAGGGCTCAAGAATTAACTGTCTTTCCCCCACGCCTTGTCTATATTTAAGAATATAAATTTAAGAAAACTGGTAGCTTAGTTCCCCAAAGTCAAATGTTTATGCTTGTTCTCTCCTTCCCCAGGAATTGGAAAGATTCCACACCATCCCATGATTCACAGTAATAAGTGGAGACTGTAGCTCCTTATTAGTAAGGAGTCTAGAAGCAATCCCAAGTATGTAGCTCTAGCAGTACTGTCCAATAGAACTTTCTGCACTGATGGAAATGTTCTATAAATTCTTCAGTATCCAATACAATAGCCACTAGCCACATATGGCTAATAAGCACTTGAGATGTGGCTAGTGCAATTAAGAAACTGAATTTTAAATTTTATTTAAATTTATATTTAAAGTTAAATGGCCACATTTGGCTTATGAGAGAGCAGAGATCTATAGAGAGAAGGGGATCATCCTAGGTCTCCCCTAGGCACTTAGAGGAGAGCATAAAGATTTAGGATGAGAAAAAGAAAATAAACATTTTCATTTATAAATCACAATATATCATACATAG